TCAATGTCTGTTCAGCATCTCAAAAGCAATAAAAGCAGTTAAGGCTACAGTCTTTTAAAGTTGACTCACATCGAATCATTAGCGCCACTTTGATTTCTTTTTTTTACAGCAAATTATTGTTTCAGAGTAAAATATTTTGATAACACATAAATACCCAGATTATAAGTAATGGCTAAATTTTTTTTTTTGGTTCATCTATGTGGTCTATGTTAGATAAATCAAACGGTAAATAGAGCTCTCTCGCACCCAACGCAATTTCGAGCTTTGTTCGTGTACCATTATAAGGCAATCGATAATAAAAAGGCGAAATCTATTCAGCGCGTTAATAGCTAAACATCTTCATCTCCAAAATGCGCTGTTTCTTTTTTTCTAAATATCTTTCATTGTCTTAAATAAGAGGTCTCAATTTCGTTAAATTTCGCTGTTTTCGCCTCATAAAAAACTATTTGTTTCATAGCAATAGCTGAAAATATTTATGCTATAATTATTTTTTTTCTCAAGGGCAGGTGTTTAATTAGACAAATATTAAAAAATAATAATTTAAACCACTTTATTTCAAAATTAATAATTATTTCGATCGACCTATAAAATATTGACTTTATAAACAATAATTGCGGGCAATATTCCTTAGTAGCCGCTGAGCGGCTGTAGCGTTCAGACGTCTTGTCTGTGCCAAATTTTTGCACTTCCTCTCGCTCTAACATTCCTCTTTCTCTCTCTTTCCCTAATCTTGGTTGCGCATTGTTACGAATTGAAAGTTGCTCTACTTTATTATTTTTTGCATATAATTCTTTAAGGGTTTATAAATCATTTTGTATTTGTTTTATAACTTTTAATTTCGATATGGACCATAAACGTAAAAAATATGCTTGTACCAGAAAACGAAAATTGAAATCAAACGTTGAAGCAATGAACAGAAATAGAATTCAAAGGTAAGTTTTTTTGTGTTTCATAGTAAAATAGTTAACAACGTGCATATGTGTGAGCACTTGGTTAAATATTAGGTATATAATTAGGTAGGTACTTTTAAGAATAGTTTATAAATGAGTTGCATATTTGTAATGCATATAGGTAAATGCTATACAAAGTTACATTATACTTTAATGAGAAACTATAAATATGTGTGATAGTGGACTGTTTGTACTTATATAGAAATTATTTTGAGTTTTTTTTTAATCTATTTTAGTATTTAGAACTACTTGACGTACTTGACGGATTTTCGATAGTGTCATCGACTTATTACGAAACCCTCAGTGCACGACTCATTCTAGCACTTGCCAGATTCATTTGAATAATCAATAATACGAGTACATGTTATACAGGTTCTAGATGATTATCTTTTAGAAACCTTTTCAACAAAACAACAAAAATTATACAAACTTAAAATATTTTTTTTTGTGTAACGAATTTTGTAATAAAAGCATGGAACAAAAATAGATACGAGGTAGAAAATCTGTATGTGAAAATTTGTTAGCTAATTATCAATAATCCTGTATATTAGATAAATTGATACTGGAAAATCTTAGTAGAGCAACTTTCCACGCTACGGCCAGAAAGATAACTGCGGTGGCGGTACATGAAGTGGCGGGGCAGGGAGGGTGTAGATGTGTCACCAGAACGCAATTTTTCTGTTTTGCTCTGAAAGACTGGGCTCTTAATAGGAAAAAATGTTTAATAACATGTATTAGATATAAAACACAAAAGTTAATAAATAAGCATATCTTATAAAACACATAAGTTATTTACCTAGACTTTGTACTTCATTTTGTGGCAAAGAATACTCTTCAACTTGCTTTATCTCACTTTCTGTAGAATAAAAGTGGTTAAAATATAGCCAAAGCGTGCAAGATTTTAAAAGTGACGACTCTTTACAAAATACACAAACGTTACAAATAGAATACACACCTTTGTTTTCAATATTGGCGTCTTCATGGATTACCATTTGCAACATTTTCATTGATCTTCCATATAACTTAGACACAGACATTTTTGCAGATTGTATTACTTTTGACCATACGTCTACCAATCGCAGCATGCAGTGCGTAACTAAACAAACGCGCGCGAGACTCGAGCGCGATTGAGAAGCGTGGTGGAACAAATTTAATTCAACTTTTGATTTTGAGTGCCGTATTGGGACATTTCGAAGTGTCCCAATACTGAATAATACTATATGCACTATATGGAACTTTTATTTTTAATCGACTTCTATGTGGAGTTTGACTTATTCCGATACTGATATAGAATTAGCACTGAAATAGTAATGTAACACTCTTAAAAAGTTAAAAACCAAATTTTTAGAGATGTTCCACTACTGTTTTCGACCGACGATATGTGCCCTAGTCAATTCCAGCACCCCTTGTAGGAAGTTAAAATTCTTAAAACTAAGCACTAAGCAGCCTCAGCAAAAGAGGTATTAATTAAGCAGAACAGTTATAATGTTTCAATAAATAAGAACTCACCCCAGCGGGATCAACTGCACCTCGAATAATTTAAATTGTAGGTAAGCAGGTTCAACGGTCGTTAGTAGAAGGGTCACGCGCGTTGCGAACTTGAAGCGGTCTCAGGTAGAAATGAAAGAGGAATGGCCCGAACGGGGACTCGTCGTCGTGTCCGAAACCTACCGAGTCTTTTGTTTTAGAGATCGTTGAGCAAAATGGTTCACGCTGCGCGGATTAAATTAACTAGTCTATGGTTCCGTAGAATAACTATTTTAAATTAACAATATGTAATAATTCGTTACTTTTTATTTTTAGATTAGAATATTATATTACTATTATTTATTTAAGATTTAAGATCAATCAATTATAAGTATTTGTAAGGGTGAATTCAGAAGCAACGTTACATCACGCCTTTCACAGGTGTTCATGGCGTGAATGTGGAGGGTGCTTTAGATCTTTGCCCGTAATGTATTCTGTAGTCTGTTTACCCATGAGCATTCTTCTCTATATATCTTTTTACCTAAACTACGGAAATAAAATAATTGCTTGTTCTATAATTATATATAAATTGATTTTTCGCACCTTTTAGGCTATCTCGAAAGCTGTTGGGAGACTAAAAATTGCGATTGATGACTGGTCGCAATTTAGGCTACTTCGAAAGAAAAACTAGGACAATTTTTACATATGCTAAATTAATCTCTGTCTAATAAAAATGCGTCTAATGTAACGTATTTTTGTCACAGAAAAATATCAAAGAAAACTAGACTTAAAGGTATTCAAAAATATACTTTAATAATAGTACCATAGAGACCATGACAAAAAGATATATTTTGTATTGTTTGCCCCCACCACTACCACCACACTTTTTTGTTATTTTCCTCCCCTTCCCTGTCTTCTACTATTAGATTGTTGGTTCATTTTGTATGTTTTACAGATTGCACAACAACATAGTTGCTATAAAGTACCAGAGTTTTCTTAGGTGTCAGAAAAGGTTGCTCAATTTTGACACCTACATAAGATATGATTACACCGCACAATTTCCATAATATATATCCTAAATAGCAAAAACTTGATTGTCAATATAATTCTTCCACCCCTGATACTGTTGCCTCTAGCTCATCATTAAGAAATGATGAGGATGGATGAATGGCAATTGAATTTTGGCCATGGAGGGAAAGTATTGGGTTTACCACTGTGGCTGTTGATGGAAGGAAAATAGTAGAACTCCTACCAGACAAGGTGTTCAGCGGGAGAGGGCCAACCCTCAGTGTATTATCTTGGAGCTGTTCGCGGTAGCTTCGGACTTCTATAGCGCGATTTACGCTTCGGTGCGTTTTCACTTGTGGCGCAACGAAAACACCGCCACGAAATTATGTTCTTCTACTTCATTGATCTCTTTATATGTAAGTAAAATTATGTGTTTAAATTTGTGAAATATTAATATTGATAGACAGACAAAATACATTTTTTTATTTAACCTTTTCTTCCACATTTACAAGAAACTTCATAATTTTATCCTGTTACAATTAAAAATAAGGTTGATTAAGATCTACGTTTATAAATAGCCTTTATAGGCTACATACCTGACATTCGAGTAGGCGATTTTAAGCTACTTTAAAGAAAAAAAATCAGGCGAATTTATGCTACCTACTTGACGTCAAATTTTTGGCGACTCGCACCGTTCTAGACTTGGCAACATTGTTGTCGGCTTTTGATTTGCATAGAGTCGTAAGCTTACTTGAAGTACCTATTTATTTATTTTGTGGTCAAATCTTTATTTTTATTTCGTAGTTTAATTTGATATTGGTTTGATATTTACCTTTTTGTAATATAATATTAAAGTGTTCATTTGAAAACAAGTTTCTAATAGGTAAGATCCGCAATTCTTAATCCTAACATTTGTAAGTTACAGCTGTTATGTATTATTACTTTTAGTGCTAAAGCTATACTAAACATCTACTAGAGTAATTTATTTTTGGAAATTATTAAGTTTATTATGAAATGAAATGCTTTGAGAGATTGAGCGAAAATCCTGTCATTAACCTTTGACATGTGTCATTGCTTACGTGTCAATTTGTATCGTATCAGTATCGGTCAGTTTATCAGCTAGTTTTCTTATGAGATTACCAGAAAAATTCTCATAAGCGTATTTACTGAGTTGTCAGAAGGTACATCTTTTGCTTTGCCTAATTCCCTTTATCCTGTATCTTAAAATAATCCATATCCAATTTTTTCTTTTGTTTTCATTCGTACCTTATGATCCATTTTAATGTTACCGGTTTTCTGATCGCAAATTCGGATCAAAAGATTATTATATCAATGTTAATGATATCATAAAGACTACTAATTTTGTTAATTCTTTATAAATGTTCTGCTATATTATTACAAAATATATAAAATACTTAAGTAAATAATTTCTTAACTTTATACACAGTATCTCAAATTATAATACATTTCAAAAGTTGGTTTAATATTATGCCTCTAATTCAGAAATATTAAAAGGAATCAAAGCAATTTATTATTTGGCGTTGTTTTATTGAGGTCTAGCAGGCAGCAGATCCAATGGAACTGCAAGCATTGCTAGTGCTCTGTGGTCTTGGAGTAGCTGGAGCAGCTGTCATTTTGCTCATGGGCTTGTTTTCTGCTTCTGGCACTACCTATGAAGAAGCAATTGCCCAACAAAGAAAGGCTACAACTGAACTCTTGGCTCTAGCTGATAATAAGAGCAAAGCTAAAAAGACGAGCAAAAAAGCTAATAAAAAGGTAATTGTTTTTTTTTAATCTATTATGTAAAAGTAAGTAGGCGTTGATAGCATATATTTGTATATTTCGGTTCTTATTTATCAAAACAACTCATCATCTTGTATTACATGGTTTTAGCAATATAAGTTTTTGTCCTTGATAATATTTATTATGTATGATAATGATTGTACTTGTGTTTGTATAGGTATGTGTTATAATAACTAAGAATTTACTTCAGCTGTATTCATTTGATATGTAAAAGTATTATTTCTACAAGTTTTTTTTTGTCACAATCTAAATTAAAATAATTTATATCCAATAATTGTTGTTGTTCATTATTAAACTAAATTTTTATTTTATATTTTTAACTAAGGACAATAATATAAAAGATCTGTAGGATCACTGTAGGTTATATTTAGTTTATAAGCTCTTTTGTTAGGTATTGTGGCTAGAACTAAATCTAATTTCAACATACATTTACCAAATGTGCTAAATAGTAAATCTCTGTTAAAGAATGATAGCTTTGTTACATCTATTTTGAGTTGAAAATAACTGGCACATAGCCTTTACTATGTATTAGCTAAATTTATAATAGGTTTGATAAATTATTTTTTATAAATTGTACTTTGTAGCGTGCAAAGCATGTTTTTTTATGATAAATATTGCAACTATAAGTCATTATTGCTGAAATTTCTACAAAACTCACTTCAATTACATATTATGTACATTCAGTGTCTAAAATATGTGTTAAGCTCTGGGTACATCAGCGACTTGCATGTGCAAACAATTTGTGCAAACAATATGGTGCACTGCACACCATTCACATAATAGCGTTGTACATGCACAAACAGTTTATACAAAGTTTTATCGAAGAACATGTGTGCAGTCCACATGCCGTCTTAAGGTACAATTCTTGCTCGTGCAAATTAGAATTTGTGCAACTAAGTTTGAGTGTGTAGCCAGGCGTTTAACTAACTTATCCAAAAACAGCCCGTCGTAAACTAAACTAAGTAAGTTATTACATAAATTTATATTAAAGTAAGATCTAAAAGTACATGTGTATTGCAGTTTATCAAATGGGTCCTAGTTCAGTGGTTAATATTGTTTAGTGATCCTGCTAATAATATTAATTACTGACAGGTATGATTTGAACACTGATTTTCAGCTATTACCCTTGAGATAACCAGACAAAAATAAGCAGAATGGAATAAAAAATCAGTGTAAGCAATTGTGAACACAAGTGACAGTATTTTTTGTTTTATAGGATAGGGTGATAAACAAGCACACAATCCACCTGATGTTAAGTCGTTGCTGTGACCCATAAGAAATTTACATCTATATTCGATTACAAAGGAAAATGCAGATGCATTGTCACCCGTGAGGACTAAGATGGAATGCCTCGTTTCCATTAAAAAGTGTCTTAGTATTTGCACATCTACATTTTCCAGTCAATATACTACAGGCAAATGTCATGTGAATATCCAATGAAGAAAAAGATTTACTAACTAACAGACCAATTACAACAAAGAATGTGCACAGTACCTGCCATGTATGTCACCAAAGAGACATGGAAATAGGCTATTGCACATGTCAAGGCTATGCTCATGACTTGTGTTGCTATCTATAACTACACTGAACTTGGATTTAGAAAAAAAAATACATTAACAAGATAGTGTGAAAAATATGTAAAATGGTAAAAATGAAAATAAATAAAATGCTAAAAGAATGGAAAAAATGTAGAGGGGGCATTTCATTTCATTTCTTCTAGCTGTTTTCTCTTTTAATATTATCTAGACTCCTGTCATCATCTCATAGCTCTTACTATAATAAGCTGTATTGTCATACATCCAATAGCATTTAAGTATTTAAAGATAGGAGCACAACAATGGGTGTGCAGCTATTTTGGGTCAAAAAAGGTAAGATGAAGCAGGAATGTAGAGTCCATCCAAGCATAAAAATAATATCACATTGAAAGCTAGTTATGGAAAATTATTACTCAATTATTTAATAATGTATTGTGTTCTTAATGATTTTTATTTTATTGAAATATTTAACAATATTACCAACAGTTAGCAAAGAAAGAGAAAAGGGAGAATGCTACAGCTGCAACAGGTAGTGAACCCGAGAGTGAGGCTCCAGCTGAAAGTGGCGTTGATGAAGATTCAGCACCAACAACAAAGCCTCATGTTGAGTTCTGTCCGCCTGTGGTTGTTGAAATGCCTACTGATACTCCTCCTAATATTAGGGTATGTAGATTTCTATCATTATTATTTTTACATTTGTTATATTGGCAGCTCTGCATTGGCCTAACACTGCTTGATAAAACAATAATTGTAAATATCTTTTTATTTTCATTGTGTCAGGTAGTTGCATGTGTAACTGACAAAGCATAAACGGAATCTAAAGCTTACTGCATTTATCTCATGTAAAATATTTCAATTACATAGATTTAAACATATTATATTCAACTGAGATATGTTTCTTTAACTCAGCCCATAACTTTCATTGGTGCATTTAAAATGACTATCCAACTAATTTATTACCTACAGCTTGAATGAAATCAGTCCATACATTTTATTTAAGTATTCAGTAATATAAACATGCATTATCTGAAAATAATTGTTATACAAAGTAGACACTATGAAACTGATAAAAGTAGAATTAATCACATATTACATCAACATTCAAGTTACTTAAATGTATATCAATAAAGATGTCTCCTTGATCTATCTATGAAATAAATATTGGTGAATCTGTTGAAGTACAACAGATGTAAACATTTAATACTGTACTACAATAATATTTTGTTAGGTTTATTAACCTAATACTAATTTATATCCAAATTTAAATCTTGTATGATTCAATATCTAAATGGAAAAATTATCATCATCTTTCATCATTACAAATTTTAATTTAAAAACAGCCTAGTAAAGCCACAAAACACGATTTTGAGCCATCTGCATCCATCAACGTCCTGCAAAATAGCTGTTTACACTAAATTTCAGTACTGATAAAATTGTAATTGTAATAAAAATGAATAACCACTTGATTTTCCATGAGCTCAACCAATAAAAATGTGAGAAAATCAATTAAATATATTAGTAATTTTTAAAATTCGATTACAAGGTTTGACTAGCACAAATATATCAACTAAATTGGGTGTTCTTATGGTAGTTGTGTTGGTGTGATTGATTTTAACAGATATTTTGTAAAATTTCTGCTCATTTGATTTCAATGAGGAAGGCATTTGTTAGGGACATATTAGAAATTGTTCTATGGTCGCCTCAATTAGAGAGAACAGCATTAAAGTTGACAAAATAGTGGAGAAAAATGAATTTCTAAGTAAAATTTGAATACACAATAACTTTATTTCTTAGCTCCTAAGGAAGTTCACATAAGTATAAGAGGTGAATGCTGTTATGGATATTCTTCTCAAAACATTATTTTCTATTGCCTTTTCACAATTCTGCAATACTAAACTGAATCTGATCAACTAAATTTTAATAATTTCATACAATTTAACTGGCTACTTTGGGCTCCTTGCCTTTTAGCCTTTACTAATGCCAATCATATTGACAAATATTTAACGAAATAAAACTCTTGACCCTCAAAATACCTTTAACAAGTTCAGTAATTATCAAACATTACTGCATAAATAAGTACTTATGAAGATCAATACTTTAAATTCCAAGTGTTTATACATTTTAAAGGCACTTATTGAATTATAATAATTTGGTTTAACTTAAAAGCAATGTTTTACGAGTGGTTCACATATACACTGAAATAGGGTTGCGACTAAAAGCTTGAGAAAAGTAGTTATTTTCCTGGGTTTAAAAACTACAAAGAATGCCTTCTGTAGTTCACTATTAACAAGTAGTTCAATATAAATAAAATGAAATCATCAATGTAGTCGAAGTCAATTAAATATGCATTATTAAGTATAACTCAAAAACTACTAGACAGATCTTTATCAAATTTATATGGAACCACATGAGAAGCACCAGCATTCGAATAAAAAAAAATTTATCAAAATCGGTTCATTCGGGCTACTAAAAATACTTAAAAAATACATTCAAATTGAGAACCTCCTCGTTTTTTTGAAGTCGGTTGGAAATTGATATAAAAGATTGGCATTCAATATGTTTCGTATTTTGGAATGTATAGATGATCTGATGATATAGTCTTACAAAACATTTAGAATGAATATCATAAATATTCAATTTTAAGAAATATTTTCTTATTACATATCAGTAATTACATTTACATTTTAAAAGTCCTAACAGCTTAAGTTCATTAGATGTAATTAGAATTGGTAATAAGAGCTTAAGGCCTATAATATTCGTTTAAATATAAGGAATCATTAGCATAAGCCCTTTCAAGTATGAAGTTTAGGGTCTCTTCAAATCTTAAAATAATATTAATAAGTAACACTAAGAGTAAGTTCAAGTAACTTACTTTAAGCAACTCTAACATGTATTATAGTTCCAACAGTGTGCTAGTTATTCTACGGTAGTTTTACTGTCTGTGCAGATCCGCAAACGCGGTAAGGATCCTAAAGTAAAGCCGATACTTATAAACAAAGAGGATCCGAGCTGCGTTAGCGATCCGAGCACGGTGCCTTCCCCTACTGCCTCCAACCACTTTGAAGAGATGCAACCAAAGGATGAGTTCGAGTTATTGCACTCGACATTTGTTGAAAAAGTGAGTGTGTAACGCACTTCGCCCGAAATGCACATGGATTTTGAGCTAACATTTCTTTGTAGAATATTCTAAAAATGTAGAAAGTAGACATGTGGGTAGTATTGTGATAGTGGCGCTTTGCGTATAGTTTAGTAAACAATTTATTGTTATTGCTTGGGCATTTTATTTAATAGGCTTATTTGCATGTTTATTCAATATTCGAGCATGGTTATCTGTATCTATCTACACTACTCATAATCATTGTCAATTCCTTAAAGTTTTTTGTTGTTAAAAAGTCATTAATGTATGAATGAGTCGCTAACATAGAATACTATAATACATACATAATAGAACGGGGGAGTGGGCGGAGCCCGTGTAGCCACTAGAGAAAATGCCACTAACACGTCAATTCACATGGTTAAATGTCAACACGAGATGTGTTTTGAAGTTACAATCGTTTCCAAATTTCGCATGCAAATTATTTAGAAAATGCCAAATTGCACACTATTTACAACTAAATATGTATTAAAATCTGTCTGTCAACACAGCGAATCGGGTTTGTAGTAGTGATTAACTGATAATACGACGTAATTGCTTGTATGTGTGCTCCCGGCGACGCCTATCGTCGTACAAAATAAGGTTGACAGCCATTATATTGTGTATTATAGTATTCTATGGTCGCTAACATTTTTACTTGCATTGAAATTACCTAATTGAGACCATAATAGTTTTGTATTGTGTATGTTATTTCTTTCTACTATTTTATGTGCAAATACTTACCCCATATACTGTTGTTATTTGGTGGATATATTTATCTATGGTATATTTCAATAAATGTAGACACTAGAGAAAAAAGAAGATTCGGGAGAAAAGAAGGAAAGTAAACAACCTAAGCCAACTAAGATTGGGAAAGTTGCATCCAAACCAGCCGCAGTTCCGGAGCCAGTCAAGGAAGAAACTGTTCAAGAACGTAACAATAGCGTCGACGGAGCTAAGGAACAAAGAAAAGGTAAAATATGTTTCCTGCCATATTTTTTATATATAGCTCTACCGCGTACCATAAACAAGTTTACAGAAGATCTTTTTTCCTTATTGATGTTACCAAGCAAAGGAATAAGAACTTTATAGTATGTGTAATGATTACTTTTTTGTGAAACCTGGCACTCATCTCATGACTCATCATCTCGTGACCTTCCTTAGATATGCATTTATATATATAAATAAAATTAAAATGTCTGTCTTTAATATCGAAATAACTGCCTTTTATTGTGCTGAAGGGGTTATTTATATACCATCAAGACATTGAAAAGCAACTTTTAAACATTTAGTTTGTCTGTCTACCAGGTTAAAATGGCTGAACCGATTGTAATATAACTTAGATAGAGAGCAATGCCAAGAGTGATAGGACTATGCTTTATCCAAAAATCTTGCAATTTTTTTTTTTGAAATTGAAACATGAAATAAATGGTCTTTGATATTTACCTTAAATAATGCCACATTAAAAGATCCTATCCTATTCTGCAGCGTCACTAGGCGTGTCACTAGTTCACACATAAAGAATTTAATATTAATTTCTTTATGTTAATTATAATATATTTTTATAAGGCTGCAGGGCCCTTATGCCGCACGGGGTTCACAGGCAGGCCACTTTTCTTTTTTTTATAGAATTGAAGTTGGAGTATGAGTACACAGTCCACTTGATGGCAAGTGTCAACCAAATTACAAATATATTTACACCTCTGAAAACTAAGTTCGAAATCTTTGTTATAGATCGCAGCATGTAAGTTGAATCAAAATGATAGTCGTTCGCGCAGGTACCATTATGGTCAAAAGTGTTAGACGTATGCTCCACGGTTGCCCGAGAAATTCAAAAATTTAAAGGACAACCAATTCGTCGTATTTAAATAAATATTTTTAATGAAATGTGAAAATAGAGTGAAGTAATTTAACTAAACGGAAAATAAACTTTCAGGGGAAGAACTATTTTCAGGACCTTCAAATTTTATATTGGCACATAATTTTGCACAAAGTTTACCAAGGGTCGGTAATTCGTTTTATTACCCCCTTGTCTAAATCAATGTTTATGCAACTATATATATATATATATATATATATATATTATATCTATCATCATTACAGCACACAAGTCCACTGCTGAACATAGGCCTCCCCCACGTAATGCCACAAAGCACGGTCCTGAGCCACCTGCATCCATCGACTTCCTGCATGTCTTTACCAGGTCGTCACTCCATCTAGTGGGGGGTCGCCCTACACTACGCCTACCGGTACGAGGCTGCCACTCGAGAACCTTTCTTCCCCATCGGTTATCGGTTCTTCGGGCTATATGGCCGGCCCATTGCCTCTTCAGCTTACTAATCCGTTGGGCTATGTCGGTCACTCTGGTTTTACTGCGGATATCCTCATTACTGAGTCTATCACGCAGAGAAACTCCGAGCATAGCCCTCTCCATAGCTCGCTGAGCGACCTTGAGTGTCCTCATACGGCCAGCAGTGAAGGACCACGTCTTTGATCCGTAAGTCATCACTGGCAACACACACTGGTTGTACACTTTAGTTTTCAGAGATTGAGGTATACCTGACGAGAAGATGTGTCGTAATTTCCCGAACGCTGCCCAGCCGAGTTGAATCCGTCGATGGACCTCTCGGTCGAAGTTGGACTTACCTAGTCGGACTATTTGTCCCAGGTAAACGTACTCGTCAACAAATTCGAGCATAGTTCTCCCAACAACTACCGGCATAGGTGAGACATGGACATTAAACATGATCTTTGTTTTGTCCATGTTCATCTTAAGACCTATCCGTTGGGAGACACCATTGAGGTCATTGAGCATAGTGCTAAGGTCCTCCAGCGATTCTGCCATAAGGACTATATCGTCGGCAAATCGAAGGTGAGTGATGTACTCGCCATTGATGTTAATACCGTATCCTTTCCAGGCCAGTAGCTTGAAAACGTCTTCCAATGCAGCGATGAAGAGTTTCGGGGATATAACGTCACCCTGTCTTACACCTCTTTGCAGTTGGATAGGTTTCGAGCTCTGATTCTGTACTCGGATAGCCATCGTAGCCCTACTGTACAAACACTTCAGCACTTCGATATACCGACAGTCAATTAGGCACCGCTGAAGGGACTGTCGCACCGCCCAAATTTCGACGGAATCAAAGGCTTTCTCATAGTCCACACACGCCAGGCAAAGTGGTAGATTGTACTCTTCGGTCTTCTGTACAATCTGCCGCAGGGTATGTATGTGGTCTATGGTACTGAAGCCTTTTCGGAAACCGGCTTGTTCGGGAGGCTGGAAGTCGTCGAGTCTGCGTGCGAGACGATTCGTAATGACTCTCTAAAACAGCACGTAGACGCGGCTCAGAAGGGAAATCGGTCTGTAGTTCTTCAAGAGAGAGTTGTCGCCTTTCTTAAAGAACAAGACCACCGCACTTCTGCTCCACGCCTCCGGAGTAGTGCCACCATGGAGGACGGAATTGAATATATATATATATATATATATATATATATATATATATATATATATATATATATATATATATATATATATATATACATCACAATATTGATTCAACGTCCTTTCATTTCGCATTATTGTAACGTCCACCACTTGTAGGTAATTTTTATACACTATGACAGCGAATATTGGTCCATTAAACAATTTTAAAGATAGTGTTTAACTCATTTTTTTGAAAATTTACTATATGTCGATATACAAATATTCGTATATTTCGTATATTAGACGGAGCGAAACTAATGAGGACTCCCTTCCATATTACAAATTATCCAGAATCTCCGTAATATACATACTTTTTATTCATTTTCCTGCTTAACAATATTCCTTTGTATGGTGCGACGTTGCCACTCTTATTAGTTATTCCGCTTTGTAATATTTTATTTATTGGTGATATTTTGTTTATGCAGTTATTCGATAGATTCCTATAGTCTGTTTTTTTCGCAGGAGACAAAGATAACAGATCTTTATTAGATTCGTTTAGCACGAATAATACAGTTTTTATGATTCTAGTTTAGATTAAATTTAATTTTAGTCACTTAAGGACGCGTTTGCAAATCAACCAAAATTAGGGTGTTTTTCGGTAGATTTTGTGACAAAACTAAACCAAATCAAATATAAGTAAAAACTACCATGTATAGATTGGTTCTTCATCTGCAAATGTCTGTAACTCTTTTTGTTGAAAATAGTAGTTTTTTATATTGTAAAAACGAACTTTCGTTGCCATTTTCTACAAAATTAACGATACCGGCTTGTGTTTCGGTAGATGTTTTGGTCTATTATCAACATATTTAAAAATTTAAAAAATACTATAAGATGACAGACATATTCAATTAAAAAACCCTGGGTTTATTTTTTAACAAAATGTCACAAATAGTCGTAAAAAAAATAAAAACTGATGCACATTTTTTCACATATTTTGGTAATATGGATGAATCATAATGTATTGCAATAAGGGCTATTTTATTGTTGGTGCCTGCTTTGATTTATTGTACAAAGATTTCGATGAAACCACAGTCCGCGCTCGGCCGCCGTCGTGAGTGGACACTGTATCGCCTGTTTGCAGCGGCTCATTCTGAAAAGATCGCTGTACATACACAAAATATTAGAAAAAAACAAATTGGAAACATAAGTACTTGACAAGTGATAAAATTATTATTTTTATACTCACAGTTTTTATTTAGCTAAAAATAAGTAGGATATATAAACTTACCTACTACTGCAACTCGTGGACGAGCGGAACTAGGTGTGCCGAGTTTGGGCTCGTTTTGTTGGTTATGATGAGACCTTACCTCTGGACTTGATGGCATGACCTGAAGGTGTACTTTCGTGACCGCTATTTGAACTTCTTGCAGAGTAAAACTAGGGGTGACGAATTTGGGCTCCGTTTTGTTAGTTATGACGAGTCTATACCTCTGGACTTGATGGAGTGACCTGAAGGTCTAAATCGGTGATTGCAACTGGAACTCCTAGACTGGTAGAACTAGGTGTGCCGAGTTTGGGTTCGTTTTGTTAGTTACGATGAGACCTTACCACCGGACTTGATAGAGTGACCTGAAGGGGTAATTCAGTAACTACTGCTGGAATTTCTGAACGAGTAGAACTAGGTGTGCCGAATTTGGGCTTCGTTTTGTTAGTTATGACGAGTCCATACCTCCGGACTTGATGGAGTGACCTGAAGGTGTAGTTCAGTGATTACAAGTGGAACTCCTAGACTTGTAGAACTAGGTGTGCCGAGTTTGGGTTCGTTTTGTTAGTTACGATGAGACCTTACCACCGGACTTGATTGAGTGACCTGAAGGTGTAATCAGGTGGTTACAAATGGAATTCCTAGACCAGTAGAACTAGGTGTGACGAGTTTGGGTTCGTTTTGTTAGTTACGATGAGACCTTACCACCGGACTTGATAGAGTGACCTGAAGGGGTAATTCAGTAACTACTGCTGGAATTTCTGAACGAGTAGAACTAGGTGTGCCGAATTTGGGCTTCGTTTTGTTAGTTATGACGAGTCCATACCTCCGGACTTGATGGAGTGACCTGAAGGTGTAGTTCAGTGATTACAAGTGGAACTCCTAGACTTGTAGAACTAGGTGTGCCGAGTTTGGGTTCGTTTTGTTAGTTACGATGAGACCTTACCACCGGACTTGATTGAGTGACCTGAAGGTGTAATCAGGTGGTTACAAATGGAATTCCTAGACTAGTAGAACTAGGTGTGACGAGTTTGGTTTCGTTTTGTTAGTTACGATAAGACCTTACCACCGGACTTGATGGAGTGAAATTCGGCACACCTAGTTCTACTGGTTCAGAAATTCCAGCAGTAGTTACTGAATTACCCCTTCAGGTCACTCCATCAAGTCTGGTGGTAAGGTCTCATCATAACTAACAAAACGAACCCAAACTCGGCACACCTAGTCCTACAAGTCTAGAAGTTCCACTTGTAATCACCGAACTATACCTTCAGGTCACTCCATCATG